TACTAAAGCCACATCAAGCTTGATTGGGTCAACTCCAGACTGCTGTGCTGGTAATGAGACTTTCAAGCCAGTGGTTCTTAGTTTGCTGGGCTTGGTGGGAGTAGGACCTGCCGAGCGAGACCACTTGGCTCCCTGATGTCAGGCCCCTTTCCAGGGAAGTGGACAGTTCTGTCTCACTGGGGTTCCAGGTGCCACTGGGGTATGAAAAAAAAAAACTCCTGCAGCTAGCTTGGTGCCTGCCCAAACAGCTACCAAGTTTTGTGCGTGAAACTCAGGACTCTGGTGGTGCAGGCTCACAGGAAGTTTTGGATCTGCAGATTGCAAAAATCTGTAGGACAACCATAGTACCTGGAGCAGGTAGCAGTGTCCCTCACGGCTTCCCTTGGCTCAGGGAGGAAGGCCCCCTGGTTCCTTGCACTTCTCTGGTGAAGCAATGCCTGCCCTGCTTCTGCTAGCTTTCTGTGGGTTGCACCCACTGCCTAACCAGTTCCAGTGAGATGAACTGGGTACCTCAGTTGGAAATGCAGAAATCACCCACCTTCTTCATTGGTCTCTCTGGGAGCTGCAGACAGGAGCTGTTCCTATTTGGCCATCTTGGCCCTTACCCAAATGGAGAATTTTTTAAACTACTGATGCCAAGTCCTCACTCCAGACTGATTAAATCAGCAGGTCTGTCCTATGCATGCTGATGTATTTGGCTGAGGTCATGATGTCTGCATCTTATTTTCCAAAGCATTGTGTGTGTATCTATATTTCTACATCTATCTATCTAAATGTTGCTAATGTGTATAAATAAGTGTATTATACTGTTATTCCACCTTTTCTCTATGTTTGACATTTTTCAAAATAAAGATTGAGAAAAAATGATGAGTAACTCCAGGATTGGCTGGGTCATCTGCTGTCACAAAGTTTCTGTGTGATGCTTCTGTCCAGAGCTGGCAAGAATGAGGGCACTTACCGTTTGACACACTGCTTTGACTCTGACTCTCCTAGGAGACTGTCCTATCCTGAGGACAGGGGCCTCATGTGCTTCAGAACTTTGCATTCCCCCATCCTCCAGCCTGATAATGTGTCTGGCATATGGTGGGCACTGGATACATATTTGTAGAGCATAGCCAAGAGGAAGTTATATCCATGCAGATAGGTGAATATGTATTTATTATTCTTTCAGTTAATCAATCAGTCTTTTGTCACTTATGGAGTTCCTATTGTTTCATGCATGTTTAGGCATAATGGATCGTCTAATGATCTACAGGGTTTCTCACTCTTGGCAGTATGGAGATTTTGGCCCAGATAATTCTTTGTTGTAGGGGGCTGTTCTGTATGTTGTCAGATGCTTAGCAGCATCCCTGATCTTTACCCACTAGATGTTAGTAGCGCCATACCTCCAACCTCACAAGTTGCGTTAATCAAAACTTTCTCCAGACATTACCAAATGTCCTCTGGGAACAAAATCTTAACCTCCAGTTAAAAAGCACTGATCTGTAAGACAGTCTGCTTTTGAAAAATCTGAACAGTAATGAAGGAAACAGATACATACACGTGTGTGTGTGTTTATGTGTGTGTGCAATGAAAGATAAGATGTGTGAAGGACTGTAATATATTAGAATGTTATGAAGCATAAGAAGAGAAAAAGTTAATTCCATTTGGGGGCATTTGGGAAGACATTATTGTAAGCTATGAGCTTGGGTTTCAGTAGCCTTGTGGATGAGAAGCTCCTTCAATGTAATTTCCTTTCCTAAGTTGCTGCCAGCTTATGTCTATATAGTCTGTGGTCACCCATGTTTTCTTCTGATCCTTGTTTCTTAGACAAAGAAACTGAATCCAAACAACTTTGGATTACTTGCGGTAAGAGATGGTTTGCAGCATAGACCTTGAAGCTAGACTGCCTGGCTTTGAATCCTAGTTCTACCAATTTCCTTTCCTAAGCTTCTGCAAGCTTCCCACTATACAGTCTGTGGTCACTCGTGTTGTCTTCTGATCCTTGTCATTATACAATTCTGCAAGGTAGACGGACAGATATTATTAACTTTATTTGATAGACAAAGAAACTGAATTCAAGCAAGTATGGATTACTTGAGGTAAGAGGTGGTTCACAACACAGAACTTGGAACCAGACTGCCTGGCTTTAACTCCTAGCTCTACCAATTTCCAGTCGTGAGCTTAGGGCTTGTGATTTAACCTTTTAACACCTCAGTGCCCACATATGGAAAAGGAAGCTAATAATAGCTCCTATCATCTCATAGAGTTTTAGTGAGAAATTTACATGTGTCAAATGTTTAGAACAGCACCTGGCCTCTATATATACATTTAAAAAAACTGTGGAAGTGTTTGCTGCTATCACTATTGTTACTAGAGCCATGCAGCAACTTGATGGCTGAGGTGAAGTGATAAATTGGATCTGCAGTCTCTGGGCTCAGTGTTTTCTCCACTGCAGTCTGTTTGCTATTTGAACAAGAAGAAATCAGTGATGGCTCAACTAGCACCATCTGGGAAAAGCAGACCCCATGAATATCATTCTCTGTTTAAACTCTACCATCCAATAGAAAGTCACATGTGTAGATTTTCTAGTAGCCACATACAAAAGAAAAAGAAAAAGAAATGGGTGAAATTGATTTTAGTAATAAATTTTATTTTAGCCCAATATATAAAAATATTAGCATTTCAATATGTAATTAATAAAAATTGAGATACTTACATTATTTTTTCCATACTGTCTTTAAATCCAGAATGTACACATACAACATATCTCAATGAGCCATTTTCTTTTCTTTTTTTTTTTCCACTTTACAGAATTTATTGGGTTTATAACTAGATGAAGTCATACATGGACGAAATGAAGCACACAGTAGGAACTGAGGGCTGGGGATCCATTACTGGCCTTTGGGGGAGCTCCGAGTGAGGGGCAGCCAACCTTTTCACCCCAGAGGTGTGGCCACAGGGGTGGGAAGGAAAAGGAACCCACCTGGCTTTTGTCACAGAACTCAGAGCCTGGCTAGGCTAGGACAGACAGGCGGCTGGGAGGGCCGGAGCCTCAGAACCACCCTGCCCAGGGAGTCCAGGGAGCCCAGGGAGCCCAGGGACTGCTCCACCAGTCCCACTTGCAGTGTGCTTGGCCCAGACCTGGACTCAGGGCCTGAGGCAAAGGGAAGGCAGCAAAGCAGGAGGGAGGAGACACTGATGTGTGGTGGCGAGGAGGGAGTGGCACCTGGACCTGTGGAAGAGCGTGGGTGGGGAGGTGGGCCAGCTGCCTAGTGGCAGCTAGCAGCGAGTTTCATAAATGCCACTGCAGCCAATGTAGTGTACCCATTTGATGACATCATGGTCACTGTAGTTCAGCTTCAGTTAAAACACCTTCAAGTAGTGCACCTTGAGGCCAGCGGATGCAAATGGCACCTCAGAGTTCATGGAAATGGGGGGTCGAGCCCATTTCTTCTTGACTTTGGTAGGCAGAAGCTCAATCTCTGTGCTGATCTGTGATTCCTTCATACCTGCCATGCGTTTGATCTTCTATACAATGGTGTTCTTGCTGGCCTTGTACTTGGCCTTCTCCTTCATGCAGATCACCTACACCCCACTTGTGTTCAGGGGGATTGGGATCCTCACCTCAGTCTTCTGAGCCAGCAGTGAGGGTTTACAGTTGAACTTGATGACCACGTTGATCTCCAGTTTGGTGCATCCCACTTCTCACACTAGAGGGATGACCCGGAAGGGAAAGATGATATCATTGGTTGTGTGATACCTCATAAGCTCAAACACGGCATCTGGCAGGATAAAGCTGATGCTGCGTTCAGAGTCAAACTTGCTGAGTCACACACACTGGTGGAAGGTGCAGTCATCAATGGCAATTGATTGCTTCCTGCTCTTGCTTGTTTCATCAGCTGTGTCTTTGCCTTGTTTTTCAATGACGATCTTGTCATTCATTCCAAACTTACATTTGGGCATCCCACTCAGGTTGCTCTTCATCACCACCCGGCCCGACACATGGGCACTCAGCACCTGCCCTTATGGGGACATGAGCAGGTTCACACTCTCCAGCACATCCAGGAAGAGCACATTCTGGCAATACCTGATACCCTCTCACCACCAGCCGATCTGCCCAGTCACCTGGTTGGTGATCTGTGACTGCTCTTCTTTTGTCTGATACTGACTCTTGATGCCCTGCTGGGTGATGAAGGTTTTCAGCATGCCTGTCTCGGAATTCTGTGGGTAGCCAAAGTCTAGAATCTCATCCAGCAGCTCATATATGAGCACAAAATTTTTCTTGATGTTTTCCTGGCTGATCTTGCTAAAGTAGGCAGCCATCACGTCACACATCTTATAGAGGAATTCAAAGACTATGGCAGCATTGACATTCTGCTTGGTGACTGCTGCCAGCCAGATGTTGGATCGCTTGACGTGGAAGAAGCTGGTGTGAGCAATGTTGGTGACGGGGCTGTGCACCTGCTGCCGGGCATGGATAACATTGATGCAAAAGGCGTCCATGGCATTCCTCTGGATGTCATCTCGGTAGACTGGGGAGATGAGCACCTCCCCTTGTGATTATAGATGAATAAGCCTCCAATCATGGAGGCAGATCAGTCTCCGGGGCCCATCGCTCTGAGAACAGACCTGATGTCCGTGGCCCTCTGCTCTGTGGGCCCGGCCACTCTCTGGATCCTAATTTGTCCACCCATCCCCTGCTCCTCTGCCTGCTGCCTTGGCTGTCAATGAGCCATTTTCAAGTGCTCAATAGGCACATGTGGCTTGTGGCTGCCATGTTGGACAGCATAGATTTTCTAAACATTGCAAAGGGCTTTCATGGTGGTGGGACACTCATATTATTTCTGACTTATGCCTAGGGGATTACAAATCAGAGCAAATAGTAGAAGTCTTCTTGAGTTTTATTCAGGACACTGGATCCTCCTCTTCTTCTTCTTCCTCCTTGATCCTTCTCTTCTCCCCCTCCTTCTTCCTCTTCTTTTGGGTGAGAAAGCCAGCTATTTCTTAGGGACGGGGGCTCAGGAGCTCTTGGTGGGGCAGATCTGCTTCCTCTTCACCATCACAGGCTTCTGGCTGTGCAGGATGGCGCTGGCCCTGCTGATGGGCAGCCATGCGCAGGTTGGGGGCGGGTACTTGTTCTTGCAGATCTTGCGTCTGATGCTGCTTAGTTTGGCACAAGCATTCTTGCTGATGGTGGTCCACACATAGGAGGTAGCAGGCGTCCACTGGCCTGATCTCCACTTCGTGACCACCAGGACATCTTTGCCATCGGCTGCCGGCTCCACGACCACAGTCTTGCGGCGAATCAGCCCATTGTAGTGGAAGGAGTTGCGGGCCTTCAGGTTACTGGGCTCGTTGCTGTAGGTCTGCTTATTCCTCTTGATCAGGAAACCGGAGCAGTTCCGCGTGACCATCCATTGCAGATGCGCAGAACTGGCGGCGGCTCCTCTCGCAGAGGCGGCCAGAGGTGGAATGCACTGGATCGTCTTCCTGCTTGTTCCTATCCCAACTTTATCAAAACGAAGTGACTATATTTTTTTAAAATGGTAGTTGATTCATTCATCAGCCTTTCCAATCTTGATTTAACTTGAGCACAGATTTCAGTCAATCATGACACAACAGCTCCAGATGCCACCCTGCAAGATGTTCAGAGGCTCATACATAATCTCTGTAGCCCGGGGCTCCTGCTTACCCTGCCAGATGAAGCCATGAGCACCCTTTCTGCCATCAGGCCACCTTGCCACCTCTTTCCATGGCAAGCCTGGAGCCACCTGCCCTGACTCTGCTGGTGGTGACCTCAGATTGCCTCCTAGGACCTCCTGAGCGAGCCAGCATCATCTGCTCCTCTACCATCCCAAGGCTGGGGAAGGGCTGGAGGCTGAGAACAATTAGCGACCTGTCTGAGGCCAGGCAGCAATTTGTCACCACTGATGGAACACAAGCTGGCAGGCCCTGGGTGGCCTCTATAAAATGCTCTGCAGTGCAAACATTGCACACTCCTGGCATTTTTATAAGGGCAGTGCCCAGTAAAGTAATAGTAAAGTAATTTACTGAATTTACAGAATAGTAAAGTAATTCTTACTGTGCTTACTGTGAGTCACATGCTGTTCTTAGTGCTTTACTTAACTGACAGAATCCTCACAGCAGCCCACTGAGGCTGCTGGTCTTTTTAATCCCACTTTCCAGATGAGGAAACTGAGATCTAGAGAAGTACATGGCTTGTGGAAGGTCACTAGATATAAGAGGCAAAGAGGAATCAAACCCAGACAGAGCCTGAGTGCCTCGTTGTGCCACAGTGAGCCCTTCAGACCTGGGTTGGGCCACCAGCCTTTTCTTTTCAGTGAAAAATGTAGGTTCCAAGAGGAGAGGGTTTCTGTGCTTTTGTTCCCTGCTGTGTCCTCACTACCTAGAACCTATTGGTTGACTGGCTGCTACCTCCTTGCTGCTGGTGGTATCCAGTCTTAGCTCTAGACCACAACTCAGGCCAATGGTTGTTCCACTGGGCACTTGTCCTGCACATGATCTGACTTCATGCCTTGCCTATTGGTTGCACTTGATTTTTGGCCTCTATAGCCTCTATGCAAATGATCTGAGACCTGCCTAAAGGCCAGAGAGGCATTCAGTTGCTTGAGGCAACTCAGGCTCAAGGCAGGTCTGATCTTGATGTAAGCACCATTGAGTCTTATTTCCCCACCCTCTGAATGATGAGGCTGGACCAGGTGAGGATGGAGTATCAATATTCCCACCTCTTTACTCCTGGAAGGCTAGGATTGGGGGTTGGAGGAGTTGGGATGGGGTACAGGCTGATGGTACAAGGATTTCTGTGAGCAAGAAAATGAGCTCTGTGCCAGCCTTTATGGGTGGTTACAGGGAAGAGTGCCTGGCACCAACTACCCATTAAAAGGCCTTTACAATCTAACTTGGATGTAGCATGTTCCCAGTTGCCCTCCTCCTCCCACCCCTGGCTCTAGCCCAGGCCAGCCTGACTCCAGGCTCCACGTTGTTTCCATATTGGCTGCTGGTGCAGGTCCACCTGAGGAGAAATCACCCTGGCTCCCTTTCCACTCCCCTAACATCTCATTTTCTGCATCTGAAGACCTCCTGATCTTCCTTCATCTGAATACCCACCAAGGGCCCCTTGAATGGTGGAGAGTCTCAAAAGGTGCAGCCTCAGGAGGGCCCTGGAGAGCACAGGGGCCCTCGTTGTCTGGGAATCTGCAGCCTGGCTATTCCACTTCTTCCCCTGTGCGGCCTCAGGCTCCCATTGCAGGATGTGCACATGCCCCAGGTCTGGGGCCCTCACACTCCATATCCTGTTCTCAGTGGGAATAAGAGATCCCAGGAGAGGAGACCTGGAACTTTGTGGGGAGAAGCTGGAGAGCTGCGTTGGGTAGGACACAAGGCCAGTTAAACCCAAGTCCATAGGTAGGTTTCTTCCGTGAACCTGTTATCCTTTGATTCTCATATGAGGATGTTCTCATGATATCACAGGGCCCTGACCAATTCTTTCTCTCATGCATATACATGTGTGCACATGCCCAGATACACACACACACACACACACACACACACACACACACACACACACACACCAAGCCCCAGATCTGAGGTCTTCAAAAAGAGCATGAGGGCAAACCTCTCAGAGGATTTAATGTTGTGCTTCCAAATGTGCTCAAACAAAGTCATTTATCTGGAAACTCTATTTCTCCCAGAGGCTGTTATTCTTTAACTCCCTCAAAATTAGGGGTCAGTGACTCTAAATGCAGAATGACAGTTAACCAACTGTGTAACACTGGCCTTAAGGTTCAAAGGCCTTAATAGAAAAGCCAACTTTTACCCCAAACATTAGCAGACCAGATGTGGTTTGCAGAATCTTCTGAAGCTTTAAGTGGTCAGATGCTATCTGACCCTTCCGGGACCACCCTAATAAGTCAGGATACAGACTTCAGACGGGGAGCCTCCCTCACTACAGCCTGATGGCTCATCTTCCAAAGGGCTTTTCATACATTTCAAAGAATGAAAGCATTGCGAACAAACACAACTGAAATCAAGAGATTTGGATGCATACTAGACAAGAGAGACATAACACAAGTCCTTCTAACAGATTGTGGACATGGTGGGCTAGACATGGAGACAGGCTCAGAGCACAGAGAGAGGTGGGATGAAGAATGTCTACCACAACCCAGGGGAGGCTTGGGTTTCAGGAGCAGGTATCCCCAGGGCTGAACCTTGAGGGTAAGTAGGCATTAGCCAGGGGATCCCTAGCAGAAAAGCCAAGTGTTCAGGTGTGGTCAGCATTGCCGGAGGGTCAGCTAGGACACCCTTGGCAGAGATGTGTTGCAGTCCCCAGGCAGCCATCATGGAAAGCCTTATGTACTGTGGTGGGGAGCTTGAACTTCATCCTGAAGGCAATGAAGCTCCAGGAGAGCATTGTAACTAAGGCAGTAATACAGACAAACAATAGTAATAGCTAACATTTGTGAAATGAATACTTTTTAGATGTCAGGCATTGTTCTAAGCACTTTGCATGTATTTGTTAACTGAGTTAATCCTTTGTAACAGAACAATATCAGAACAATACTGATATTATTCCCATGTGACAGCTGAGGAAACTAAGGCAAGGAGTGCCCACACAGTCATCTAGCTCCTAAGTTGTGGAGCTGGTATTTGAACCTAGGAAGTTTGATTCTTGAGCTCATTCTTTCAGCCACTCTGCTATTATATTTTATAGCCATTTCTGTTCAAAAGGGGATTTTAGGTGATTTATAATATAACCTAATGCACAGTAAGCAAACTAAAAATAAAATTCAACATGAAAGAACAGAAACAGAACAGCAAGGAGACATTTATGACAAGAATTCAAGATCAGATATCACTAGACTTGAGCCCTAATTTTCATCTGATTTTTTTGATTAAAAAGTGTAATATTGTCAAGTTACAATCCTATTGCTCTTTGTGTGTTTATCAGGAGACCCATGGTGCTTCCATACACTGAATTCTAGAAGGAAATTTGTTGTTTAGTCCCTGATATGAACTGTGATGTAATGTATAAGATGTATTAGCTTCCTAGGGCTACTATAACCATGTAAAGCAAATTTGGTTGTTTAAAACAACAGAAATTTAGTTTTTCACATTTCTGGAGGCCAGAGGTCCAAAATCATGGTCTTGTCAGGGTTCGTTCCTTCTGGAGGCTGTAAGGGAGACTCCATTCCATGACTCTTTCTCAGCTCCTGCTAGCTGCAGGCAAGCCTTGGCATTCCCTGGGTTACACTTCCATCTCAGCGTCCATCTTCCTATAGCTTTCTCTTCTGTGTCGCAAAACTCCCTCTTCTTCCTCTTATAAAGACACCAGTCATTGGATCAAGGCCCCAGCCTAAATCCAAGATGATCTCATCTTGAGATCTTTAGCTTAATTCCATTTGCAAAGACCTTATTTTCAAGTAAATTTCCAAAAGACTTATTTCCAAGTAAATGAGGACACATTCATAGGTATCAGGGGTTAAGACTTGGATGGATCATTTTTGGATGCCAGTATTCAATACACTCTAAAAGGCACTTAATAGCAATTCTGCAAAAAATAATTGAAAGGGTTCTTTTATGGCTGTTTCTCACAGTGACAAAGCCAAGGGTAGAGTTTTGTTTTGATGGTAATTCAGCTCACTTGAGTTGGGTAGTTCCAACTAGTTGGGCCACCAAGGGGTTTTCCTGTCCTCCAAAAGAGGCTCCTGAATTGAATGTCTTATCAGTTATGTATCTTTGGTGGGCAGAACTTCACTTGGAGTCAGGTGATTCACAGAACTCCTGGTATGAAGCAGAGTTTTTGTCTAGGACCCATTGATGGGAGGCTGCCTAATCTAGTACAGAGGTCACTAACTTGGGCACATGTGAGAATCACCAGGGGAGATTTTGCAAAAACGCATGCCACGGTTGCACGCCAGGCAAATGAAACTGAATCTCTGACCTCTATTGTCCCTGCCCTTGTATTGACTTTCTAGTGGGAATCTCCATTTATGATGGGGTGGTTGGGACCACTTGTTCCAAGCTGTTGCTGGTTTCCTTTCAGTCTAGTGGCATATGGAGGGGGAGGGGACACATGACCTGTCGAAATAGGGGCGGCCTTGAGATTGTATTTGGATTTGCTTTCATGGCTCCTTTCCAAAAAAGAACACATTTGTTCCTCTCTGGACTTCAATATCCTCATCTGTAAAGTGGAGTAAGCCAATTTATTTATAGTTATTGTTTTGTGAGACAGGGTCTTGCTCTGTCTCCCAGGCTAGAGTGCAGTAGTGATGTCTTTAGTCACTGCAGTCTTGAACTCCTGGGCTCAAGAGATTCTCCCACCTCAGGAGGCTCGAACTACAGGCATGCACTGCCGTACCAGGGTAATATTTGTATATTTTGTAGAGATGGGCTTTTGCCATGTTGCCCAGGCTGATCTTGAACTCCTGAGCTCAAGTGATCTGCTTGTCTCAGTCTCTCAAAGTGCTGGAATTACGGGCACGAGCCACTGTGTCCAGCCTGAATAAGGCGATTTAACTCATAGAATTGATATGAAGATTAAATGACAGGTCATATGTAAAACACTTCACACAGCATCTGACAGATGTGGAGGAAGAGAGAACTGTACTAGGGGCATTGTTGTTTGTTCCAGACCATTGGTGTGCCAGGGATTTCTGGTAATGATCACTCTTCACTGGAGGAGAACAAGAAATAAATAACCACTGTGGC